AAAATAAAAAAATAAAAAAATAAAAAAATAAAAAAATAAAAAAATAAAAAAATAAAAAAATAAAAAAATAAAAAAAATAAAAAAATAAAAAAATAAAAAAATAAAAAAATAAAAAAATAAAAAAATAAAAAAATAAAAAATTAAATAATTTACTGTAATAATGTAAAAATACTTATTAAAGAACATACTTGTTCAAAACGAAGCATTGTCATAAAAGTTGCGATCTTATGTTCTGGAAATCTATTATCCATATTCCAATAATCTCTAATACTAGGTAATTTAAAAATACTACTATATATTAATATTGCTAACCAAATTTTAAATTCCTCTACTTTTAATTCGGTCTATTTACGTCCCTCTCTTGCACCCTTTAAACAAGCATATTTTTTGGTATTTTGAACTATTGTATTTATTTGTTCAAGTGAAAAAAAATACTAAAAATTGAATAAGGCGATGATAAAGAATGTTCATATCTTGTAAGTAAGTGTGATGTAAATTTATGCGTCAGTCTTGAATGTTGAAATGCATTAAAAAAAGGAGAAGAAGGAAGCTGTACAGTTTTATGATTTTGATTACGACCACGGCCATGGCCATGACCATGGCCACGGCCATGACCACGACCACGACCATGACCTCTGGTGTTTTCATTTTCTTGAACGTCTTGAATATCATAATCGTCATTATCATTCGATTCACTTTCTTCACTATTTTCATGAATATTACGTGATAATTCTGCCACATATATGTTATCATCATCTTGTTCATAGAGAATTGAAGTTTCCATTGTAAAATATAATATGGTGCAAGAAATCTAAGAACCTCAATCACTTTATATGAATGCCGCCAAGGGAAAACCTGAATACTTACTTATAAATTTTATAAGCAAGCATTCAGTTTTTCCCTTGGCGGCACTCATATAGAACAATAGTCAACTACGTAATGCATGAGATAAGCTGAATTAAGTAACGGCTTATTTCAAGTTTTAGCGGTGTATACGAAATAGTTGCTATTATTCTTGGCGTATTATTTAACCCTTATTGCGATTTATAATTTAAGAAATTTATTTTCTAGGCACTATTAGTTTATGCATTATCTTTATCCCAAAAGATTAAGGTTTTTAAATTTCTGCACTAATACGCGAGAAAAAATTTAAGAATTCTGTAGATGGTTAGCATCGCATTTTTTAGAAATATATAAAGCGAATTGATTGATCAAATATGGTAATAGAGTGTTAATCAATATGCGCATAAAGTCAAAAAATGATTGGTCAATTTTATGAAGAGATATAAAACGATCTTCATCCAAATTTGGAAATTGCAGGCAAATTTGCCTGCAAAACCGTTTAAGGGATAGTGTTTCAAGCCGGCTAGAGCAGCCGTGGCTAAGGCAGCTGATAAAAATGTATCGGCAGCTTAAGATCACAAGACTTTAATAGTATAAGTTAGGCCGAAGTGATAATGCCAGGCAGAATTAAGTAATAGGAAATAAAAGGTTCCGAAAAGAAAATGATCGAATAACCAAAAAATTTGAGTAAATATTCGAAAATTTCCGAAGATAAAAATTTGGCTTTAGTTATTAGCCAGCCGCTTAGCTGATTTTTTTGCCGGCTGGCTAAGCCAGCTGATAAAAACCTCATGGCTTGAAACACTAGTCTATTATCCAATAAAATTAAAAAATTGTTTTTTTTCGCTATCGCTATAGAGAAATTTTTTATAATTATGGCATCAGTAGGTCTTGAATCCGGTGCTAGCATTTGGTAAAATAAAGAACAAATCGATACACAATACGTAGGGATTTGAATGTTAATTTTGTTATGAAATTAATTAATGTAGCTTTACTACGTACGTACGTACCTAGTCATAACCTGTCTATTTACTTAGTGTTATATCTAACCGTGAAACTGTAATACGTAGAGTATACGTAGACATAAACTGCATTCGACATTTTTTACTAATAATCCTGTTAAAATGGGTACCAAGAATAGTAAAATAACTTCACAAGATCGTGCTATTCTCGACTTAAAGATTCAGCGTGATAAACTGATACAATATCAAAAAAAAGTAACTTTAAGTTTCATAGAGTAAACGATATTCACCTTGTGGTAGAAGATAAATTGCTTTGATTGGCTATTCCTCATGTTTTTTTGTTTTATATAAATCACGGAGAATACATAAATTTGTCCGTCTCTTTTATTTGCGGAAAAACTATTTCATTTTTTAGCGACAATTTTTAAGCTCAGAGTTTTTTCTTTCTGTTCGTTTGGAATATGAAGTGCGTTCATTGCAAACTAGATAAACTCTCTAAAGAGTTTCCACCCACTACCGTTACAGAAAAGTGCCAGCATATTTCTTCCTTTTGTTTGCGAGTAGGTCAACTGTATACCCTAAATTGTATTAATTTTTCGTAAATGTCGAATTAACCGTAAATTTGTTCTTTGGGTTATTATTATCAGTGTCTGATAACACAAATAGACGCCGTTCAAAATAAGCAACAAGCTAAATGTCCAGAATGTAATTCATTAATAAATCCTCAAGAAATGAAAGCACTCAATTTAGCATGGGAGAAGGCACCTTTTAAAATCGACGTAGAAAGCATTGGTAGAGTCCATTCACCAGCAATTCAACAACCGGATGGCGCTCCTCTAAAAGGTGACTTCTATATTGTAATGTTGAATGGCCAAAAAGTGACTATGAAACTGGAAGAAAATAAAACCGTGTTAGCTTTGAGAGCTTCTGTAAATAAGCAATTAAAAGTTAATCAAACAAAACAAAAGTTGATTTATCGCGGTAAAGAGCTGGAGGTATGTGGAAATTTTAATAAAATTCTTAACGATGAATATTGCTTTAAAATTGATTTGAGTTCTTAGGATACTCAACAAAATCGTGCGAGCAATTTGGCAGATTATGGAATTGGTCCTGGCAGTCATATTCAGCTCATTGTTGTGCTTTATAGTATTACAAAGGCCGAGTCAATTAAAAATTTAACATTCGATTTATCTTGGGGATATCCCGTAAATGGAGCACAGGATTATCTTGATGGGAGTTGTTTGTTATATGCAGGCGACACATTTTGGAGAAAATACGATTACGCATCTGTATATTATCCTTCATTTCCCCATATGAGACATTCTGGAGACGTAATGGATAATGCAAGGAGGACAGGTTGGTAATGGTATTATATTTAATAGGATCCTGTTTTTCTGATTCATCATCAATGTATTTGATGTTTTCTCATAAACACTAGGGAGCCAGCGTATCACAGCTAAGCTCGATCAACTTCCTCCCGAAGTTACCCAACTTTACTTTGTTCTTAGTTCATGGAAGTCTCCAACTATTGGTCATTTTCAAAGACCAAGCTTTAAGTTATTTGATGAAACACAGCCTGATAAAGATTTGTGTAATTACACTCTTGCCGAAGCGGCAAATTCACAAGCTGTTATCATGTGTTGTGTATCAAGAGTCGGCAACACAGGAATGTGGCAAGTAATTCGGATTGGAAAATTGTCAGCTGGAAATGCAAACGATTATGATCCCATTGAGATTAGTATCGGTGAATGTCAATTAAACTCCTAATGTAATTATGTATAAAGGAATTTTTTATTTTATTATTGTACTATATTATCAAGTGGATATGTAGAATTGTTTGTTGTCTGATCTAGCCCGATCACGTGCCTAGTTTGTTCAGCCAATAACGATAATAAACGTTGTAATGTTAACATATAGATTTTTAAAATTGGTATGATTTGGCAAAAAATTATTAAATACTTACAAATTTATAGTTTGTAACCAAACTATATTTCTGTAAGAGGATTTTTATTTTTAGCAGTGTTATAACAGTTTAAAGTTTGAAAAATTTGGCACCTAATCTATATGTAGGTTGAACAAATGCCCCTTGAATTTTATCGATTTACTGTCACGTGATGGCCGGAAACAAATGTTGTTGGGCTAAAAAACTGTTTATATTTGGGTTAAAGTTTAGATCAAAGTTAAGAATAGTATTATTAGTAAAATTTCACAAGTAAATTTTTTGAGTTTTAGCCAATAAAATTTCAGAAAGAACGACAAGTCAGGTGATCACAATCACAGGGTTATTCATTTAGCCAATCAATTTTTGTTCACATGCTGCATGAAAGTAAGCGATTTCATATAGTAAAAATCGCAAATTATGCTATATTATGCCGGATCATAATTCTGAACACTAACGGATACTAGGGATGTTAAAAAATCTGTCTGGTCCAGTCCCGGTCCAGTCCTTAAAAAGTCCGGTCCTGAACTAGCTAGGAACTAGTTCATAACCCTGTCTGAAACCGGTCCAGCCCTGGAGGTTTAATATACAATACATATAATATACAATACATATCACATTGTAATATAGATAAAATTTTATTAGTAATTTTTAAACGAATTTTTATTAATATTTTTCTTAAATTTTATTATATA